ACTCGCAACCTCTTTCTCATCTGTAATCCCGGGAGAGAATTCGGTGCCACCTTTTGAAACCTTTTCGAAGGAAATTCTGACAGAGTTGAGAATTTTCTCCCCGAATGGCGCATCTCGTCTGGAGTTATCCCTACCGTCGCAGTGCCGACATGCAGACATTTTCCCATTTTGCCTTTATGCTCTGATTAGTTCTGTGCTGTCCTTGCACACACGCGACTTTTTCAGGTGAACGGCGGATGGACGAAATTCAGCAGTCCAGGCTACCCACGTGAATTCAAAGAAGGTGTGTGTCAAAGTTATGGTCTCGGGTGAATTGCCGCTTGGCCATGGAGCTCTATGAAAGCCAGCCAAGTCTGAACCCTCATGAACCATAAGTATTTTGGATTCAGTGTCGGCAAGGCTGCGAATTTCGGATTTCTTGTTTCTACAAGAGGAAAAAGCTGACCGGCATTGTCCAAGGCGCTATAAAAGCCTCTGCGCATCCATGTCACTTTGGAATTCAACTATCTGCATTCTGTTGTTCAGGTCAAGAGTGCTCATGGCTCCTCGTGGCCCCACCGGGCCAGGTGGTCGAAATGCAATTCATTGGAGAGTTCGAGATGTACTGTAAGGTATGTTATTTTCTGTACACGCTTTTTCTGAGCAGTTGAAGTACAGTGGTCATTCTTCATTACGCTCTCGTTCCTTTCGTTGAGTGGGTGTGTCGCAAGAGATCTGAAAATTCTCTCCCACTTCCCGTTGACTTCTTAGGACGATTTTGATTGAGTGGTATCTGAGCGCTGAGGCATGGATTCATTTCAGGTAAGGCACTCCCTTTGCATGGACTACGTCGAAGTGCGGAACTCGACAGATTTCGCGAACACTGGCATGAGGTGAGTGCGCTGCCAGAGTTCTGTTTGAATTTTCGAAAGTTTCCCAAATTAAAAGCAATGATAGGGATGTTCTGAGGAAATACTGATGTGCAGTTCGTTGCAGATGTTTGAGGCGATTGGGTGTTTCTCCAGGCAAACAAATACACCTTTCAGGTACTGTTGCTACGGCACTCCGAGCACGAGCATTCGTTCGGCGACCACCGATCTTGTGGTGTTGTTCCGCAGTTTCTACCGTGGCGGTCGTGGCTTCGAGGCTCGCGCCCGGGCCCTACCCGCGAATGGTCAGTGGGCATCGTGGACCCCGTGGACCCCCTGCACGGCTAGCTGTGGCGCATGTGGATCCCGAATGCGAACACGTGTCTGCTCGCACGGAGCATGCGCGTACGTCCTTTTTCCTTCTTCTATGCATTGCATGTCTTTGTTTTAACCCCCATGCTACTTACCTGACTTTACTCGACTTCCTGTGACTCAAAATACAACTAGGGGTCATCATATCAGCTTCGAATCGTTGCATGCTCTCTTTCGGGTCGCCGTCCACCTTTAGGTGACTAAATGGTTAACCCTACACGGAGGCCTTGCTAAGTGCGCCCTCGAATCATTCCACTCTTCTTTTTAACGATGATATTTATTTATT